CTTCATTCATGTAAATTCTATCAGTGAGACTGTCTTCTTCAAAATGTATTTAATTATATAATTATATTACATACGCAGCCAAAACGAATATGGACACCTCTGCATGCTTAAAGGGGACCTGTCATTTCTTAGGATTACAAATCTTATGTTTACTTATCCTTTTTAGTTGACAAATATAGATTGTAAGGTGTGAAAAATAAAATTAAATTTTAAATCCACACCTCTATCATGCAACTAAAAGTCTCCATCTTAGCTCCCTGTCAATAATTGTCAAAAAGCCTTTTGTACCTGGTAGTCCACATACAGAGAATGGAGAAATGAAACCAGGTTTCTATTTGCAATGTGTACATGGGCTGAATAGGATTGTGTTGTTTCCTAACTCTGGAGGACAGTGGTTCTCAAACCAGTCCTCATGGCCCACCAACAGTCCAGGATTTATGTATTTCCCTGTTTTATTCCAATGGAGATACTAACAAAACCTGGACTGTTGGTGGGTCTTGAGGACTGGTTTGGGAACCACTGCTGTAGGAGATGGACCATCACATGAGAAGAGGTTAACACAAGTTATAGTTAATTTCAATGTCTAATGCCATGGTGGAATTTACAGAGAACCCATCTAATGCTTACCAGGTGCCAAAAGCATTGTGGTTGCTTGTCCACTATTTAACTGCCTTTATCTAAACGACCTGGGATTGGTGACTCCTACGTACAGCTGTGTACTGGAACTTCTACTGATATGATCATTTTGTCCAATGTGGCAAGTTCTGCTTATTACACCTACTGCTTATCAAGCATCTTATTCCAGAGTTGGATGTATTAGTTTGGAACGTAATGTTCTCACTTCCTTCACCCTTCTGTGAAGGCTTTCCACTTGATGTAGGAACATTGTTGGGTAGATTTGTGTATATTTTACCTTCAAAGCATTAGAGTTTGGTTACTGATGTTGGGAATTGCATAACATTCTGATTCATCCAAAATGTGTTTTGTGTGGTTTAGGTCAGGGCTGTACACATGAAAAAACATCGGAATTCTCTACACTGATCTAGACACACAATACATTTAGTAGGAAGTTGGACCTGTGTGCATGGGAACACTGTGTTCTTGAACGAAAAGGCCTTAATCAAACTGCTGCCACAAAGTTGAAAACACAACCATCTGTTATTTAACTGTGTGTGTTACCAGTATGATGTCCTTGTCCTTGTGTAGGAACTGGGGTGCAGGAATATTTACTTCAAGCCAGTCGGTGCCTGGTATTCTGCAAGGTGATCATATGCTTGTGTGTGGCTGCTTGCCCATGTCCTAGGACAGGCATAGGCAACCTTCCGCACTCCAACCTACGTTTCCAGCTTGGTACTCCTCTTCTGCAGCAGCTGCTGTACCTACTATGACATCATGAGAGCCATGATCTCATCCAATCCAATGCTTCTCATAGAAATCCGCAGTATTTGGTTGGAGTACCATGTTTCACTCGGTTCTAGAGCAGGAAAATTTAACACCACAAACCTACATTGTTTTACTTTGCAGGGTTAAAACATTGAGACCACTTCATTGAGAAGAATTGTCCTGGGTCACTTGAGTGAAACTTTAAAGGGTTACTCTAACCCCTTTGGAAAATATGTTTCTATGAAGATTACAATGTTCTACTGGACATCATTCACTGAATTTGAAAAAAACAAACAAACCACTTACTGCTTTCCATGCCACATCAACATCACCGCTGCCCACTCGAGGTACAATCAAATGATTCCTGTGGAGAAGTATTAGATTGGGCTGTTCTACCAGCTCAGAGTGCATGCAGGCTTTGAGTCCAGTGTGGCAGGGAGGCAATTTTAAGAAGAAAAAAAAAATCCAATTGCTATTAATACAGAGGGGCAGGGAGGGAAGATCAAGGTTTCTCCTTGCATGTGGCTCATTATGTCTGTAGCCAGCACTGTGTGTGGAACACAGAGGTATTTGTTGCACAGAATTGAAATTAGGCACTTTAGAACAGAGTTCAGGGGTGCAACTACCCAGATTAGACATGCAGGCTCCTACCAACAAAGCAGAAGTGGTCATGGTGGTTGGAGTTACCTTTTAACACTCCTGCCTATATAACCACTCATTGTCACTTACAGGTGACAGGGCAGAAACCTGCTGAACTGACTTGAAGAGGTGACATTCTATGACAGCACCATGCTGTAAGTCAATGAACTCTCCAATACAGGTAAGATTGGCAGACCCACCATGTTTTCCTTAGATCATATATCACTTACACATATTGATGGGTGATCTGATAAACAGAGGCTGCCCTGTACCATGTAGAATCAAAAAACAACTCACTAATCCTCATTAAATCCTTCAGAATATTAATTATAGCCCTTTTTATGTGTTGCCCATCAGTATGAGCAAGATGTGTGTTCAGGAGAGCCTATTCCCCTAGCAATACTTCTTGCTGTGGAGATTAAAAGGCTGTGTTCCTGATTTTAAATAGCAGTTCGCAATGGGTGTGCCTGCGATAGTTAAATCCACTTATTTAAATGAGTGTCCTAATATTTTGGGCCATATATTTTTCAGCAAAGAAAGAATTCAATCAGATGCAAGGACTGCCCCAGATCCAAACTTCAAATCTAGTATCTGCTTCATTTACACTTCATTAACAGGACTGGCTCCTGTTCAGTAATGCTATTTAACCACTACTCGTGAGCTTGGATCCAGCCTGTTATTAATAACAGAGATCGAGTAAGTAAAATTATTAGAAATACAATTAAATGTGGATCATAGATTCAGAAAAACCCCAGCCTTAACATCTACATTGAATAATAGGCTTTAAAAAAAAGAATAGACTGCTCTTGGGGCTTTCCAGTGTCTGGTAACTGCTACTCCCATCGTGCTTAGACATCCCCCAGCTGAGTATAATGGGAGTTGGAGTCCAGATGTGGTTAGTTTCGGGTTGTTGCTGAAATTCTTAAAATGCAAACAAGAAAAATAAAAGTAGCATATTCAGATAATGCTGATAATTATGTGGGCAGGGTATTTGCTGGGCAATTAAAACCCTGGAGGATAGGAGAAACAGGGGACAGGGCTGGGAGCTTTATGGGGTGGTTGACAGAACGAATTTGTTGTGACCTGCTCACACACTTCCCTAGAGACTCGCTGGATAGATGCACATTCAAACACTGATCCTTGAGTCAAACAACAAGGCAGCTTTTACCTTGAAGGAAGAATCACTTTATGGAATACTTGCATTTAATATATCATCAGTAGACTGTGAATGAGCAGATATTTAACAATAGAAAATTATGAAAGTGTAGGCTACATGACTTTTATATAGCTGATCTGCAAAAAAAAATAATAATAATTAAATTTTGAACTCCTCTACTAATTTTTAACTGGCTATTAATTCCTGGATTTTTTAATTTTTTTTTAACCTATTTGGCATTGATATAGTTCATTCCTGTACTACACATAAAGAAGTAGAATGTAAGTGTAAGTATAAATAGTGACATATGGCTCTGTGAATCTTTGCTTATAAAAAGTGATCTGTCAAACTGAGAGACTGAGACATTTAAATCCCCACCAAAAAAACAAACCAAACTCACAAAATTAAAATACATATGCTTTGTACCTGATAACAGTTTTTCAGTGTACTGGAGTACAACCCTGCACATAAATAGTTAAGTGAAGGATCTTTAAAAATATATGGGTTAGTATTGTAAAATACTACAAGATGTGTTTCCCATAGGATCATCTTACCTGTTTAACTGGTAGAAAAACAAAACTTACAGAATGCTCTGAATTGTATACAAATTCTAAACATTGTGGCAAATAGGAGCCAATTGTTAGATGTGAAGAAGGTTCACAGCATTTCTATAGAATGTGTGGTTTCTTTTAGCAACAATCAGAGTAAAACGTGTATCTAAATGTATGTCTGACTGATGCTCAATCAGTTCAGGCATAAGCTGTGAAAATCACTATAGGCTGTGTGTGCACTGCAGAGCATCTTTACTGGCTAATTAAAGTGCAGTTTTTGAAAGGATGCACTTGTTTATTTTTTATATTCATGTATATATTTTGATGTTTTGCACTAGGGATCGAGATAAAATATTTAGTTGTCGGGGAATGTCACAAACATCACAGCAAATGCAGTATGTCACATCCATTCAGCATCTTATAATTATTTTAAATCTCCTACTCAGAGCCTCAATATTCTCCCTCTCGCCTGGGATTACACAGACCAACAGATGATGTTTTCCTTTTAAAATGTGAATTTAAAAAAAAAAAAAAAATGTATGTGTATATATATATATATATATATATATATATATATATATATATATCTCATATCTCATTCTATATTTCTAGCAGGGCTTTGCAGCAATTGAGATTGCCCTGGTGTCCACTGATGGCTGGCTTAGAGTGATGTCATGATGTCCACATCAACTAAACAGCTTAATAATAGCTTAAAAATCACAGAACAGAGCTAAATTAATCTGCTAGGGGCACAGCGAACCCAGATCACAGTATTTACTACCATATCATTCCACAGTGAATAGTATGGGTAAGGATACACGAAAACAAATATGTACATATAAGGGAAAAAAATATTTAAACTATATAATGAAGAAGGGAAATAAAAATACACCCAGGATCTGTTTTTATTTAATTTTTCCCCCCACTCTTGCTCTAAATAAACTCTGCCTCAATTTGCCATCCCAGAGCTCAGAAGCCAGGTGATTATCCTAATTAATGCCTATCTAATTAAATTACTGTCAGCAGTTAACCAATGGCATGAGTTCTTTCATCAGCTCCAAATGCAGCAGCTTGCAAAGTGAGTGCTGTCTTATCTTGTGCTGCATGGAGTCATTTCAGCAATCTGTGCTTCTAAGGAAAAGTGGATCAATGTTCTGGGGGAGCAGCACTCTGCAGTGGACCTCACTAGACTAGACTGAGGGGAGCTTTAACTGTTGCCCTCCATGTGTTTGCCAGAAAGCTGATGTGGATACTTGGTTGCTAGCTGAGCTATGCAGTTGGAACATTGCCTCTCTCCCTCTGTCATGCTCTCTAAGAAATTCCTCAGTGTGAGCAGTAGTACTTTCCCCCATCCTGGTGGATCTGAGCTAGCTTTACATGATCATCCCATTATCTCCACTGCTGACAGCCTGGAGAGAGGTTCATCTCTGAAAAAAACTACCAGGGGGATGACGAATCAGTCAGAAGCAGACAATTTCTCTGAATCCAAAGACTCACCAGGGGATGGCCAGAGGAGTAAGCTGTCTCCTGTCTTGGATGGGGTCTCTGAGATTCGTCATAATTTCGATGGATCTACAGCAGATCGCTATCTCCTCCCTCAGACCAGTCAGTCACAGTCTGCATCCTCTGCTCCTTCCACTATGTTCCCCTATCCCAGCCAGCATGGACCAGCTCACCCAGCCTTCTCCATTGGGAGCCCCAGCCGATACATGGCTCACCACCCAGTCATCACCAATGGAGCTTACAACAGCCTCCTGGGCAATTCTTCCCCACAAGGATACCCGGGCACAGGATACCCCTACACCCAGCAGTATGGCCACTCGTACCAGGGGCCCCCTTTCTACCAGTTCTCTGCACCCCAGCCTGGCCTGGTACCTGGGAAAGCTCAGGTCTACCTCTGCAACAGGCCACTCTGGCTCAAATTCCACAGGCACCAAACTGAGATGATCATCACCAAACAAGGCAGGTAGGTACCAGGGCAGGGAGACATGCCTGGCTCTTTAAACCAACCAGCACTTACCGACATACTTGGTTTTATTTTTCCAGCGACTTTTAGGGACCAAATCTTAACCCCTGCGCGCACACACACCTACACTGGATCTTGGTTTAATTATTGTTAGTTTTTTATTATTTTGTAGTTGTTCATATTTCACAATATTTACACTTCATTCATACACTCACATAATGGGCATTGCATCCAAATGTTTCACAATACAAAGGATTTCTGTTGCTGTTATTATTATTATTATTATTATTATATTTTTAAGCATTAATTAAGATTTTGTATGATTTTTAAATACCACGTCTGGTTATCATTACTGTCCTTTTTTTTCCCTGTTTTTAGCTTTTTACACTTTCATTTTTGCTGTCCTTTTGTAGCCTTTATAGAGCACTTTTTGTTTTTTTTCGTTTTTTTTTAATTTAATTTTATTTTTATAAATGATGTATTTGCCTAATTATTCGGTGCAATTTTATTCAATACATTCCTTGTGCTCTTTCTCCCTCCCCTGCACCGCTAGACGCATGTTTCCTTTCCTAAGTTTTAATATCTCCGGTCTGGACCCCACTGCACATTATAATATTTTTGTGGATGTTATCCTGGCTGACCCAAATCACTGGCGATTCCAAGGTGGGAAGTGGGTTCCTTGTGGCAAAGCGGACACCAATGTGCAAGGCGAGTACCAATTAACACGTTTCTTTTTAAATCCCAGACACTTCTTTTTTTAGGTGAGAAACATTAATTAAAGCCTTTTGTGTTCAGACTAAGCAGCATTTATTGAGCAGATGATAGGGAAAAAAATAATTGAGGCTGTAGAATAAATATGCAAATGCTGAATCTAAAGTATAAAATAAATGAAAATAATAAAATGATTTTGATTCGGTGAAGATTTACAATGTATCTCTAATAACAGGTAACAGGGTCTACATGCACCCGGATTCCCCAAATACTGGAGCCCACTGGATGAGACAGGAAATCTCATTTGGGAAAATGAAATTAACGAATAACAAAGGCGCCTCTAATAATACTGGGCAGGTAGGTGCACTGATAACATCCCACTGAGCAGGGACAGTAAGTAGATGTGAAACCCGTTCTATCGAGTCTCTAGGCTTCCAGCACTAGATTGGGATGTATTTAATTATAGCTTGTGTTTCAATGTAGCCATCTGTAACCTGCACTTGTGAATAGTGGAATCAATCTGGAATGAATTATTCTGCAAAAACTACATTAGCTCTGCTATCTTCTGACATTTAAAATAGTTACATTTTTTTATAACAGTGTGTTTAGAAATATTCTATCTATCTCTCTATCTCTGATACTATATGTAATAGTCTCATAGTGTCTATTAATTTTTTTTTTAATTAATTAAAAAAATTTTTACAACAGTGTGTGTGTAGAAATATCTAGCTAGCCATTTCTGATACTATATGTAAGTCTCATAGTGTTTTTTTTTTAATGAATTTTTTTTTATAACAGTGTGTGCAGAAATAGCTATCTATATGTAATAGTCTCATAGTGTCTATTATTTTTTATATTAATTTAATAAAAAAATTTTATAACAGTGTGTGTGTGTGTGTGTGTGTAGAAATATCTATTTATCTATCTCTGATACTATATGTAATAGTCTCATAAGATATTAGTACAAGGAAGTTCTACATTATTCCAATAGTTTTTGTAATTCCTCTGCTGAGGATTATATTTGTCATTTATTAATTTTTTTATGTGAGCGTATTCTAGGATTGGGGACAGTGAGGGCAGTGCTTATTGTTGACATGTAATGAAAGTCCAAGTTCTCTCTGTTTTTCCATTTGACATATTGCTATGCTGTTTGACAGATGGTGGTCTTGCAATCCCTACACAAGTACCAGCCCCGGCTACATGTGGTTGAAGTGAACGAAGATGGCACAGAAGACACGACACAGCCTGGAAGAGTTCAGACCTTTACATTCCCAGAGACCCAGTTTATTGCAGTCACAGCCTACCAGAACACTGATGTAAATAACCCATCAAATATTACATTTTCCTAGCAGTCTGCAGTGGTTATGGTAACTTGAGGCAGGTAGCCAGTGTCTTACAATACAAAAAGAAAACACCCAACCTAGTTTGTATTTCACTTTGAGTGCCAGATGAAACTTCCTCACCCATTAAAGGCCAGATATTGCAAATACAGACCAGTTCTGACCACAAACCTCCTAATATTTTATTTTAGAAAATTACAATTAAAATTTGAATTAATTAGAAAAACCGATCTGTTTTCTGTTTCTGTTTTGATGTCAGAATGCTGAGTAAATGATTGTTACAGTGGAGTCTGCGTGTTTTGTTTTGTTTTTTGTTTTACCTTCAGTAAATGTTTGTTTGATTAGCTTTTAAGTCAGTACAATGAGTGTATGAAAAAATCTTGTTTGTGACAGCCATAAAAGCCCATTTATTTTATAGTTTTATGCACAAATCAGACAGGTAGGTCAGCTGAAAAATAAGTGCATAAAGGAATGCCTGTGTGGAAATATTTTTGAGAAACATCCATTCACAGGTTAAAAATGTGGTGTGTGTGTTTGGGGGGGGAGGGGGGTGAAGGAGAGATTCACCACTTTCTGTAAAAACTCCTAGTTAACGTGTATCAGGTAATTAAGAAAGTGTTAAAATGGCCTTTTCTGTTCTTGTAGATCACACAGCTAAAAATTGATCACAATCCATTTGCAAAAGGATTTCGGGACAATTATGACACGTAAGTAACAATTCTGTATTTATTTATCTTGTTTGTTTCACTTAAGCAAAATATGTATTCATACAGATCGCAACATTTAGAAATACTATTTTTTATTTTTACTCTGTGGCTGTCGATTTGGGTTTTTCCCCTTCTTGTTTTTATAAGGAAATGCCTGTAATCTTTTTTGTAAAGTAATTAACCACTCAATGGGCACAAGACAAGCTGGAATGACCTATATTACCTGCTGTACAATTACTGATGAGGAATCTGTCTCAGAAAATGCACAGCACAGACAGTTAGGAGAGATTTTTAATATGTATATATTTATTTTTAATTTTCTAGCCTGTCTATAGAGACTTAGAAATATAAAGTATTAGTGATTTATATTACATTGAATGGATGAAGGGCTGAAGATCTATTTTCTAATATATATTTGATTACTTATTGGTTAATTCTATACAGTTAACACTAACATCCAGCAGTGCAGAGCATGATGAGAATTGTAGTCCCTCGTGGCTGTCTGTCTGTCTGTGGGATCATGGTGTGAGAGTCACACTGTAGGCTGTAGGTTGCAGTTCCCAGTTCCTGGCAATAAATTGACTGTATGGGGATTAGATTAGTTGACAATAATTTAGTTATTGGCTATCACTGCAATCCAAGCTATTGTGCTCGTTAACACGTTTGGGTTGAAATGTACACCTTTTTATATTTCCATTTTATTTACTGCTATATTGTATATTTGTATATGTTTGGAGTTTTTTGCTGTAAACAAAACAAACATGTATAAAATATATATATATTTTTTCAATATCACCACTTCTACTTTTTTTTCTTTTTCGGCATAATTATACATAATACTTCGTTAAGTATATAAATAATGTATACTTTAGATTTGAATATAATCACACACCCCGTTTATGTATTGTTACAAAGATACAGAAGGAATTATTGGAAATGGTACCAAAATGATATTTTTCATAACTAGAATCCTTATTTGATGACCGAGTATTTCATATTCTGCATTTTGAAAGCCTGATTATGTAAATCCTATATACTTACTCAGCTAATCAGGTTCTGAAAGTACAACATATAATGCACTTTGTCCTTATATAGCGATGATATATTATAGATATACTGCAGACTACATTTAAACCACAGTGCATGCATTCAAGCAGGGTGATATATCACACAAAATACTATATCCTGTGTATTTTATATTTTAAAAACACTATATATACGTATATATATGTGTGTATGTACAAACTCTCAGAATCATATAGAGTAGTTTACCACAATATGCAGATCTAGCGTGCAAGGTATTTATCACACTGTGTTCTGTTCAGTGGATATTCAGTTTCATTGTAATATTTACACTAAATATCTAGTGTATACAGTACAATGTATTTACAGTAGTATATTCAGTGTACAGTACAATGTATTCAATGTATATCCGGGGTACTGTTCAATGTATTTTCAGTGTACAATACATTTACAGTGTATATCCAGGGTACAGTACAATGTATTTTCAGTATACAGTACAATATATTTAGTGTATATCTATTCAGGGTACAGTACAATGTATTTTCAGTATACAGTACAATGTATTTACAGTACAATATATTTAGTGTATATCGATTCAGGGTACAGTACAATATATTTACTGTTTATATCTATTCAGGGTACAGTACAATGTATTTTCAGTATACAGTACAATGTATTTACAGTACAATATATTTAGTGTATATCGATTCAGGGTACAGTACAATATATTTACTGTTTATATCTATTCAGGGTACAGTACAATGTATTTTCAGTATACAGTACAATGTATTTACAGTACAATATATTTAGTGTATATCGATTCAGGGTACAGTACAATATATTTACTGTTTATATCTATTCAGGGTACAGTACAATGTATTTTCAGTATACAGTACAATGTATTTACAGTACAATGTATTTAGTGTATATCTATTCAGGGTACAGTACAATGTATTTTCAGTACAATATATTTAGTGTATATCTATTCAGGATACAGTACGATATATTTACTGTGTATATCTATTCAGTATACAGTACAATGTACAATGTATTTACAATAGTGTATACAGTACAATATATTTATAGCGTTTATGTATTTAGTGTACAGTACAATGTATTTACAATATAGTATATCTATCACTATACACTATATATTATTTTTAGTGGACGTATCTGCTATCTATCGATCTGTTATTATACTCGTAATAGTAACTCACTGTGTGATATCAGACTCTGTATGAGATATATTGCAGTGAGTACACACACACACACACACACACACACACACACACACACACACACGGTAGTATTTAAATTATATCACAGTCTGCACACTGTCAGCCAGTGTATCCATATTCACCAACAGAAATATACTCTGCTCACTATATACTGATGTCTCTACACAAAAGTACAAATGATAACCTGCTCAATACACTGAGTGCCCTCTGCTTGCTCCACTCTCCTCCCCTTCTCTCCCATCCCCTCCCGCTGAGCCTCAAATCTGGGCAAAAAAACATATTTCGTTTTTTCTGTAAACTAAGTTTCCATGTGAGTATATTAATAGTATATCCTGATGAGGCCCGAATCCTGTGTGATCTTTTCTGGGCATTGAAGAAACTAGCTTTGTTCACAAACTGGACCAGCGATTCACACATTTTAGGCCAATTAATAGATCTTCAAAATACTTTTAATGTTGGCTAAATTGTCCTGTAATGTGTCTTCCCCTGTCCTGCTCAGTTTTACCAAATAAACCCTTAAAACAGAAATTGTGGTGCATTGACAAAGGATCTGTAAAATTTAGGCCATAAAGCTAATTTGGTGATTTTTTTTTTTTCCAAATTTTGACTATTTTGACCAAACATTTGGAATTTCATTGTCAATCCCCCACACTTTCTATTTATTGTGAAACCCTCAAAAGTTTGTTCACTTTAAACACAAGGTTTCGTTGGCATCTGATCCTGCTAAAAGCCAGATTCTTTTTATTACAACCATTTATATGTGTATTAAACTATAACCCCCATTCCCTTCAATAACCCATTCGAGCGAGTTTATTCACTAAACAGTGAATTGTTGTGATGTATAAAACAAATCGCAAAAAAAAAATAGATGATTTTTAAAAAATTATAAAAAAAAAATTAGGGCAACTGCACTCTAGTCACAGCCTGGATCTTTTAGGCAGAATCTTGCAGTTTGGTTTTAATTTCACTGCAATACGCTTTTTAGTGAATAGCAACTCGCGTTTTTTTATCACCACCTTTATGTTGACCGGATACAACACTCGTGTTTTGTTTTATTTCTTCTGTTAAAACAAGTAGTGAGAAGCCTGTACAACTTTATTTTATTGATAATACTTTTGTCAATGTTTGTAATTTAATCAGTGTGATACAAAGTGACCACTTTCTTTTTTTATGGACGTTCTATATTAGCTAGGCTGCTACATACCTTGGGTCACTTACCTAGGCGGCTCAGTATGGGTCACTATATGTTATGTACATACCTTGGGTCACTTACCTAGGCGGCTCAGTATGGATCTCTATATGTGATGTACATACCTTGGGTCACTTACCTAGGCTGCTCAGTATGGATCTCTGTATGTTATGTACATACCTTGGGTCACTTACCTAGGCTGCTCAGTATGGATCTCTATATGTTATGTACATACCTTGGGTCACTTACCTAGGCTGCTCAGTATGGATCTCTATATGTGATGTACATACCTTGGGTCACTTACCTAGGCTGCTCAGTATGGATCTCTATATGTTATGTACATACCTTGGGTCACTTACCTAGGCTGCTCAGTATGGATCTCTGCATGTTATGTACATAGCTTGGGTCAGTATGGATCTCTGCATGTTATGTACATAGCTTGGGTCATATTGTTGCTTAGTATGGATATCTGTATGGCCTGAATCACATAACTTACCTGCTCACTATGGATCACATGATGCTGTGTACATACCTTGGGTCATGTAGCCAGGGTGTTCAGTATGGATCTCTGCATGGTGTATTAAAACCTTGGGTCATATGGTGAGAATGGTCAGTATGGGTCACTGTATGATGTGTACTTACCTCCAGCCAGGTAGCTAGGCTGCTCAGTGTGGGTCACTGTATGATGTGTACTTACCTCCAGTCAGGTAGCTAGGCTGCTCAGTGTGGGTCACTATATGATGTGTACTTACTTCCAGTCAGGTAGCTAGGCTGCTCAGTGTGGGTCACTGGATGATGTGTACTTACCTCAAGCCAGGTAGCTAGGCTGCTCAGTGTGGGTCACTGGATGATGTGTACTTACCTCCAGTCAGGTAGCTAGGCTGCTCAGTGTGGGTCACTGGATGATGTGTACTTACCTCCAGTCAGGTAGCTAGGCTGCTCAGTGTGGGTCACTGGATGATGTGTACTTACCTCCAGCCAGGTAGCTAGGCTGCTCAGTGTGGGTCACTGGATGATGTGTACTTACCTCCAGTCAGGTAGCTAGGCTGCTCAGTGTGGGTCACTGTATGATGTGTACTTACCTCCAGCCAGGTAGCTAGGCTGCTCAGTACGGGTCACTATATATATATGTGTAACTGTATGATGTGTACTTACCTCCAGCCAGGTAGCTAGGCTGCTCAGTACGGGTCACTATATATATGTGTAACTGTATGATGTGTACTTACCTCCAGTCAGGTAGCTAGGCTGCTCAGTGTGGGTCACTGGATGATGTGTACTTACCTCCAGTCAGGTAGCTAGGCTGCTCAGTGTGGGTCACTGGATGATGTGTACTTACCTCCAGCCAGGTAGCTAGGCTGCTCAGTGTGGGTCACTGGATGATGTGTACTTACCTCCAGTCAGGTAGCTAGGCTGCTTAATATAGATCTTTCTGGTCTATAACTGGCCTGGTATGTTCTGCGTTTGTTAAATTTTTCTTCGTTATGGAAATTCAATAGGTTTTTTTTTTTTTTTTTTATCCCAAAAAATGAAGTAAAATAAAACAAAAGTAATCATTGTAAACTGTGTCATTAACCTCAATTAACAGCCAGTCTCTCCATTGTGTTGTATAGTCTGATGTTTGTTGCTAGATAACTATTTCAGTAATCGCCCTGGAGAATATCAGACACTTGGTGTAGAATGATAAAATAATTCTAATATTTCCAGTAAGGTTAATATCTGTAATACAGGCTTCACCTGATGGATCTAAAGGAGAAAATATAAACCAGCATATTATAGCTTGCTACAATACACCTATAGCTATTCATCAACAATAACGTTATCACTGCAGACAGAGATATACAATTACTTTATTATAACAGGGTGCAATAATGACTTCATTACGGCTCATGGGATGCAATAATAGCGTTATTAAAGGGAGGGAGTCAGTGATAATTGTATTATTACAGTGGGTGTGGTGCTATAATATCTTTATTACATTGGGTGTGAATACAGGTGTAAGGGGGAAATAATAACCTTATTACATTGTTGGTATAATAACGTTATTACATTGGGGTATAAGAACTCTTACACTGAGGGTATGATTTTATGATTTTGTTACACTGAGTGGATCTATAAAACATTGTTGCATTGAGGTATAATAACTTTATTACGATAGATGGGGGTATAATAATAATAAATGACTTAATGAAAGTGGATGGGGGTATAAAAGTACCTTTATAACATTGGGTGTAATAGCTTTATTATGACACTGGGTTGCACATTCTTATTACACCCAGTTGGATAATGATTTCTTTATATCTTTCAGGATCTACACTGGATGTGACCTGGACCGCCTCACTCCATCCCCCAATGACTCCCCGCGGTCCCAGATTGTACCCGGTGCTCGATACTCCATGGCCACTTCCTTCCTGCAGGACCAGTTTGTTAGTAACTACGCGAAATCCCGTTTCCATCCTCCAGGCTCAGTGCCTGGGCCAGGAAGTGACCGCAGTGTCCCTCACACAAATGGCTTGCTGTCCCCACAACAAGAAGATCCAAGTGCCCCTTCTCCACAACGCTGGTTTGTAACCCCAGCCAACAACCGCTTGGACTTCACTACCGCCTCTGCCTACGATACGGCAACGGACTTCGCTGGCAACGCGGCCACCCTCCTATCATACGCGGCCGCAGGCGTGAAAGCCCTGCCCCTGCCGAGCGCTGGCTGCGCTGCCCGCCCCCTGGGATACTACAGCGACCCAACTGGCTGGGGAGCGCGGAGCCCTCCGCAATACTGCACCAAATCTGGTTCTGTGCTCTCCTGCTGGGCCCCGTCAGGTAGGGTGGGAGCTGCCAACCCCTATTTAGCAGCTAGCGGTGAAGCTGACAGTTTGACTGCAGACAGGTCTCCTCTGGGGGAGGACACAAAACCCAAAGACCTGTCTGACTCCAGTTGGATCGAGACACCTCCTTCCATCAAGTCCATGGACTCTTCTGACTCCGGGATTTATGAACAGGTCAAGAGAAGAAGACTCTCCCCCTCTAACCCTACAGTGTCAGACAGCTCCTCTCCCCTCAAAAGTGAGGTGCTGCCCTCCAGAGACTGTGAGAAGAACTGTGCCAAGGACTTAGGTTATTATGGATTTTATACCCACACCTAAACTTTATCACCCACACCCTGAAATTCAACTAGCAAGGCAGAATACCTGGAGGACAATCACTCTGATCATGTTCATTATAATGATTATATGTGGTGCCCTGGGATCTGCAATCACAGCACTGACATTTTGAGTATGAGGTTTGCATAGCTTCACCCCTCTATAGCACCCCCTTACTGCCATCTGTGGGGCTACCAGGACACTCATAAACTCTCTGTAGCCTCCTTACTGGATTCACAGCACTGACACCTTCATTCACTTGAGCCTTGTGTCTGTTCACCCCCTTCATTCTCTTCCCTTAAACAACTACACAGTGATCTTGGCACCACAAAGGTCATACTGGCGACTGTTAGGCGACAGGGATTGCGACCAGAGAACAAGCAGCATAGTCAGCAGTGCAGCTTTTGGGACCAGCACTTCCACGGTTTTCTGAGAGTAGATGCCTCTTTGTAGCAGTCTTGATTGGATCCTAAGCTAAAATCCAGACAGAACTTCTTCCCAAGGTCATTGCTTTTCATGGTAGATTGCAAAGAAGGTATGAATGACTGTACGCATGGGGCAGTCGCCACTCACCAGAACAGTTCGCTCTTGTAAGCTTTCAAGTTAAGTTTTTATTAAATTTACACACAAAGAGAGATCAGAAACGCTTACAATGCTCGCAGACCACTGGATAAAGAAACACTTGAGGTATACATGTGTATATTATTTTATTTTTTTATTATTGTTTACATTTTAATTAACATGTAAATCCAAGGAACTTCACATTACCCTCCATGTTTTTTTTTTTTTTTTTTAACTCTGTAAGTATTCTACGCCCACAGTTAGAAGCTAATTTCACACAATAATGGTGTCATATTGATATATAAATATATATAAAATAATATTTATCGATAAGATCAATTCAGCCCCCCCTCCACCCCTCTATATATTTATTTTAATGATTTTATTTATTGTGCCAAATTAGGGACTTTGCCAAACCAGAAACCTTTTAATAAATGCATTCAAGTACCCCCTCCCCCCCCTCTATTTGTAAATCTATAATATAAAACTATGACAAAGCATTTCAGTTTCTGAATAAATGGTGGGATATAGTATAGTCCAGTTAACATAAAATGTGAGTTGTATATTTAAATCATTTTAGAACCAAGGATCCATTTATTATGTAGCTGTCTGAAATATAATGCATAGTATAGTTTTTTGTTTTTTTTTATAATTTCTTTTCTCCTCATTGACTTTTCCTCTTGATTGTAAGTTTTGTTAGCTCAACAAGCATAATCACCATATTTATATACTATGTAGAACATAGCCTTCACAGTCTGATTATTTTATACTACTATGAAATATTATTATATCCAAAAAAGAGAAGGGGGAAAAAAAAATCACGTTCTCTGTATACATATGTGTATATTTCCGATTGTTCTGAAAAATGGAATGTTGTGATTTATTTTTATTTATTTTTATTTTTTAAATTCAGCATTTGTAAATATTTGTTCTCTGTTAAGATCAGTACTTGGAACAGTTTGTGATTCTTAGATCTGTGTCTGTATTGTCTGTATCACGACTGAAATAAATCCAGTAAAAATTGAAGCGTTTCATACTTGGGAGTTTTCATCTCATTTCTTGTTACACATTACTTTTCCGAAGGTGGCTTGATGCTTTTTAACAACGTATTTATAAATATATGAGATTTATAAATATATTCTCTATATTTTTTTTTCTCTCCAATTTTTAAAGGATAAACAATCTTATTTATTTTATTTTTAAATATAAATAATTAGTGATAATTTTTTTTTAAATTTTATTTTTTTTTGGCAATGAGAGTAGCTGCCAAGATTTTAGATTTACAGCCATTTTTTGTTACTGCCTTTACATTTATCGCCTTAAATGTATTCTAAATGTATATCGCATTTCTGGAATTTAGGGTAATTTATTGTGGTAACGATACATTTTAAGTTCTTTAGCCAGGCAAGTGGTAAATTAAATACCAGGACAATTAATGAGAACTAATTGATCTTTTATTATTTATTTATTATTATTCTTTATTTATTATTACTGATACAATTTTCTTCATTGATTGGATATCAGCGAATGGGATGAAACTTGAATCCGAGTAGGTTTTATAACACGTGGAGATGTATATTTTTTATCAATACCATAAAGTGACCTTTTTTTTTTGTAATATTAAGGGCTCTATTTCCTTAACAACGGTTTGAGCTGGTTTAATTATAAAACTATCAAGTTAAAATATGTTTGGAGAATTATATCTTCAAACAGAACTTTACAAGCTCCAGTTTAAAAAAATAATGAATAAAAAAAAATATTTCGAAGTAGGTTATAACATCCCCTAAATTCTCTGCTTGGTCAATTTAGTGAAGGGATCGTTTCTTGTCTAAATCTAAAATTCTTATTTCCTGTTAAGTAAATAAAATCAGACACTCGGTTAACGAAACAACTATTTATAATTCAATATATCCATATTTAATTTACTATCTGAGCGATAAAGTATGACTGAATATAATGGTCGCAATACTTTGATCGCTGTATGTGTCTCTCCTAACCTGTATTAGAAATTCGCAGATTAAACCCTTTTTGTTCAGAATGTGAATAATTTTGTCTTCAAATTCATTGTTAAAGTGAAAAAAACGAATACTTAAGGAGCATTTCTTAGCAAAAGTATCAATATTCCACTGCTGTTTTTAAAAATAAATAAATCTATTTTTAATATAATTTCATTTTTTTTAATTGAAAACATTTATGTCCCACTTCCTCACTGTTAATTTTTTTTTTTTTTTTAAACAAAACAATGTAAGTGAGTTAGAGTTCGTCCAATAACTGAGTTGTGGTTTTTAATCAGCTTTCTCAAAATGAATGATTTATCCAATTTAATTGATTAGGATTTCAAGCCGTTTTGATTTCTTTACAAATCCGTTTAGATCAGAATAGATCTCTACATTTACACACTGCCATTTGTAAGCAGCATTTTGACATTTTTTATTTTATTTAACATTGAGTAATGCAAGAGTCTATTGTCAATCTATGTGTCTGGATAGGAATTAGGAGCAATGTAATATATCATTGTATGTTGGCAACTTGCTTATTTTAATCTGTAATATTTTGATATTAAATAATTGTGTTTAATACGAATAATTTATATTGGTTTATCTATTCCTTAAATTTTTATCTCTTTAAACGTTAATTACAATGTTACTCTTTTTTGATCATATGTATCTAAAATGTTAATCTATTTAATGATGCAAATAACCAATTTGTTAGGGGATGGTAGCCATAGATATAAAGGGTCAGATCTTAACCAAACGTCTTGAACCTTCATATATTTATTTGTGAGGGTAAAAACTATTGTACTAAATTATATTTTTACACATGTGATAAAGCTAAATTATAGCCTGGCCAGATACTGACTTTAAAGGGAGTGTTTCTTGCAAACTGCCTCTTGTACATGAATATTTTTCCATGTGAGATGTCCAGGTAATATTTAATGAGAATCCAATTATACTAAAACGAACAGCAATTTTTCCAAGTATGGGTGATCTCTGCCTCAGTGCTAATGACTTGAGTCGAGATGGTGAGAACCCATGATGCAATGCGTCTGTGACAAAGTTACAAAGGCTCAGCATGGGGTATCTTTAATATCCAGAAACCTAACTGTATGATTCTGATTATTTAGCATTCTCTGAAATATTATGGGAATTTGGAAAAAATATGTTGTATTGGGTTTACAAAGTGTGAAATATTATTAACCTTGTCCAACAGTATGGATGTACTTTTTATATGATATGTTGTATTTTTGAAAATTTTGTGTGTGTGTGTGTGTGTGTGTGTGTGTGTGTGTGTGTGTGTATGTATGTATGTATGTATGTAAAATCCCCAAGAATTTGTTAACCTTTTTGTTACAAGATTCTGCATTTCGTTTAAATTTATATTAAAGAGTTAGCAAATTTTAATGATAATCCAGTTCAGACAAGCAAAGACGGTCCAAACATTGAAATTGAAGACGACAAAGAGAAACATTCTTTTTTGTTTCTCCACTTGCTTTCCATGTGCGGACTACCTGAGCTAAGATGGAGACACCCAGTTACTGGATGAAGTGTAGATTCATCCAGTTTAAATTTATTTTTAACACCACATGAATACATACTTGTTAAATATAGTGATACGTCAAACTGTTTATTAAAAATAGTGAGAAATTAAAGATCTTTAATATTTTTAGGGTGTGTCTCCCATATTGGGCGTATGTAATAAGTGCCCCAGAGCCCGAACCCATGCGGTGGGTTACCAGCTGATTATTTGAAGGAATCTCTGTGTATTGCTTGTATCATGTAGATGACTGCAGGGCTTACTGTTACTTTTGAATACTAATACATTCGTGTTTGTATGCCTACCTATAAATTTATTAATGGTATTTATATAGCACCAGCATATGCCATAGCGCTTTACAATTTTATGAAACGGGGAGATTTAACAATAAATGAGACAATTACAAAAACTTACAGGAACCATAGGTTGAAGAGGGCCCTGCTCAAATTAGCTTACAGTCTATATGTGCGTGCGTCTGTGTGTGTGTACAGTTTTCCTTTTTTTTTTTTAAGATCATGTCTTTTGTAGGAGTGCACTCATTTTAATTTATCCTTGACATATTTGAGTTGTAATTCTTGCTATTCTAAAAGTGTTTGCAATGTCAAGGACTGTATTTCTTACATGCCTAAATATGATGTGATACATGATTGCAAGACTATCACAGATGCAAGTAAATTTGGTTTTGTTATCAATCTTTCATGCTATAATTTCCCATTCTCTACAGCAGGTACATTGATGGACCTTGTTTACAAAAATATATTGTAGCCATCAAGAACACGTAAATGGGTACCCATACTGTATAATACATACCTAGGGCCTTCATCAAACCATAGAGGGCACTCATCTCTGGTTTGAGCTGAGCCATATAATGGAGTACACTTAATTTTGAATTGTCACAATGTATTTATGAAAAAGAACCAAGCCAGTACGTAAACATATTTCAGCCTTTAAATTATGTAGGCACTCTATAAATAATAATATATATATTATAAATAATAATAAAGCTATGTTATAAGCTACCACATAGGAAGCTCATGAAATCCTACATTCTTTATGTAATCGCATAATACTGTTTTCTGGGTTGAGGGTCATCTCTTACTACGTGCCTAAAAATAAAACCTCTTCTTTATTGCTTCATCATTTAATTATCCATATGGTTCTTTATTATGTACCCTTTGCTAAGATGGTATGACCCATCTGGTATTGTGCATACCATTTGTTGCTCTTTCCACCTTTTGTTGTTGTGCTTTTGAGTAATAATTAGAAATAAACACAATGTATGTTTTTTGTTTTTTTTTCCGGTTTATTCACAAATCTATTTATTGAATTGTCTTTTTTGCACCTTGAAATATGTTGGCCCTTTATAAATTCCAGTAGTAATAATTATAATATGGAAATCATTATTTGGGGTGAAAAGACTCTCAAAAAATCTCTAATGAGGTTAATTCTTAAACTGAGATGTGCTCACAAAAGGAATTGAGAAATGTAGGGCAAAATACAAGTTGGTAACATTTTATATATACATTTTTTTTTTTTTTTAACTGGACTTCTGGCCTAGCATTTCTAATTCCT